CCGCGTCAGGCGTGTGCCGCTGCCCGGGCAGCCTTTTCCTGGCCAATGTCTGTGCTGGGCCTTCCTCGTGCTCTGTGTTGTGGGATGAAACGTGGGGGATCGTGGGACGTGTGCGGACGGTCTGTTTTTCAACCGCTGTCTCCCGGTTTGTGCAGCTGTCATTAATAAATGTGAATTAACAGAACTTCCTGTTTCTGTGTTCAAGTGCATCGCTTGAGCGTGTTCTGGACACGATTAGCCCAGTTCAGACAGGAAGGGGACCAGAAGGTGGGGTGTTGGCATGAGGACCCCTGGAGCTGGAGGAGGCGAGTGACGAGGAGCCACACAGGAGAGCTCTGCCTGAGGTTTTAGGGGATCAACATGTAACACCCCACTCTTCTCCCCCCGGAGCTGAGAAGGTGACAGGATTCATGCAGGTGGGGGTGGGACACGATGCTGGCTTTATCACCGAGAGAAACTAGATTAGGGGCTGGTGAGAAAGGTGAAGGGATTGAGAAAAAACAAAAACAGACACAACAGTATGGCATCACCAGAGGGAGAGGGGAGGCAGGTGGCGGCGGAAGGAGACCTGGCTTGGGCGGCCTGCGCCCGAGGCAGCGTGCGGATGTGTTGTTGAGTTGGAAACGTGTATGGTTTTATTAACCAATGTCACCCCAATACATTCAGTTACAAAATTAATAAATAACTTCAGTTTTGAAATTCTTGTCAGAGATCCACGTAGAATGCAATCTAGTCCAGGTGTTGGCACATGGGCCTACAGGACAACTTGGGCTTGCTGCGTGTATTTAGAAAGTTATTTTATTTTAATTAAATATAAGTAACAAAATTCACCATCCGAATCAAAATGAAAAGAGGAGGAGGGGGGGACAGTAGCAGGTGCTGTTGCTTTTTTTGGTTTGTTAATATGTTTCCATGTATTTATTTATTTACTTATATATTTTTTGTTAACCCTCACCCGAGGGTATTTTCCATTGCTTTTAGAGAGAGGGAAAGAAATATGGATGTGAGAGAAACATCCATTGGTTGCCTCCTGCACGCGCTCCAACCAGGGCCCGGGCCGGGGAGGAGCCTGCAACTGAGGTGCGTGCCCTTGATGGGCCCAGGACCCTTCAGTGGGCAGGTGGACACGCTACCCACTGGCCACTCGGGCCAGGGCAGCTGCTATTGCGTTTTAACAGGGGATCGCCTGCACCTGCGCACACGCCGCCCCTCCTCGCACCCACAGCCGTCCTGCAGGTCGTCCACCCGGAACTGAGATGCGTGTGCAGAGCTCACCACGCACCCGATGGCCTGCATGTCTACGACATAAACCAGAGATGCCCCCCGAGAACTCATTTCTCCTTTAAAAGGGAGCAGACCGGGCGCCCACACAGGAAGGCCATGGACAGTAAGGCCCAGGGGGGAGCCGGCTGACGGCCCGCGGGCGCGGCTCAGGGGTTGAGCATCAACCTATGAACCGAGAGGTCACGGTTCGAGTCCCGGTCCAGGCCGGGTTTCGGGCTCCATCCCGTCTCCCTCTTCCTTCCTCTTTAAAGTCAATAAAAAAATTATATAAAAATTTAAAAAATAAAAACAAGTTGGTGGTACAGATTCGAATCCTGCCCAGCTTCCTCTAAGTAAAC